CAGTCACATCATCAAGCAACTGCTCCATTTCATCTCCAACAAAAAAGATGTTAGTGTCATCTGCAAACAAAACAATTTTAATATCTTTTGTGAAATTACATAGATCATTAATGTATATAATGAATAATTTAGGCCCCAATACTGAACCCTGAGGAACCCCACAAGCAATGTCCAAACGTTCAGAGATAACATTTTCCATCTGTACACATTGTTTTCTATTTTTAAGTAACTTTTTATCCAATTTAATACTGTACAATCCCTCTAACCCCATATCTTTCCAGTTTATTTATTAATATTTCATGATTTATTGTATAAAATGCCATTTTTATATCTAGAAATACTCCTGCAACAAGCTTCTTATTATCAATAGCAGTTGTAATTTCTTCTATAGATTCCATTATGGCTGATGCAGTTGATTGTTCTGACCTGAATCCTTATTGACTTTCACTAAACAATTTATATTTTCCCCAAAATTATTCCAGTCGGTTGTTAAATAATTTCTCTAAAATTTTTGAAAACTGTGGCAGCAAAGAAACTGGTCTGTAACTGGTAAAATGATATTTATTCCCAGTTTTGTATAATGGAATTACTTTAGCTATTTTCATCATATCTGGAAATAAGCCACTGTTGAAAGATAAATTACTAATATAAGTTAATGGTGATGAAATCCCTTCATCTGTCTGCTTCACTAATTCCATGTCGATTCCATGTAAGTCAGCTGACTTTTTGTTTTTTGCATTTTTAACATTATATTACTATATATTGTGCAAGTCATCTATTCAGCTTCTGTTCATGAAATAGTGACTAATTCCTTCAAGCTTTTGCCTACAGTACCGTCCGCTCCAAAATCCTTCAGGATACAGCAACGACATCTGGACAGTATTTATGTGGACTGGGACATCCCAGAAGAGCCCAACGGCRTCATCACTGGATATATCCTCAAGTACCAGACAGGTATGCTAACACACCATCTCAAACACACTCAAAACAGGGAAGTAATCACTTACTGGAACTGCACAAAAGTGGGAGATGGGAAGCATCCAAGTATTAAAGCAATAGCTTTCTGGTGTGTGCATTTAAAGGTCAGTATATGACTGAAACATCCTGTCAAGAGGGCAATAAACACTTCTGTATCTGCTCTATGTGAAAGTATGATACTTAACAGCTTACTCTTCCAGGACCAACACCAAGAGTTTTCCTGATGCACTGAAATGTCTAAACTTCACAGTGAATGCAAGCAGAGGAGAAGAGCTCAGGGTCGAGGAGTTCCTGCCTAATGTGACGAGCTTCTCAGTCCGGCGATTTGACCGCTACACTCGTTATAGGTTCTCTGTGGCTGCGAGAACTAGAATCGGAACAGGAGAATGGCATACGGAGGAGTCCCTTCATTACACCACAGAAAGTAATCTGCCACTTTTTCAATACATCAACACAAACTGGCAGTCAAACACTTTCAGCGTGCTGAGGAGTTGTTGACTTTAATCATTTGCTTGTGTGTCTCAGTATATGCTCAGGACCAGGTGGACATTACGACTCAGGGGTGGTTCATTGGGATTATGTGTGCAGTAGCGCTTATCGTGCTCATCCTTCTTATTGTGTGTTTCATCAAGAGGAGCAGAGGCGGCAAATATCCAGGTACTGTAGCTCCAACGCAGAGCTACTCAACCATAATCGGCTACAAGTTTGCAACACTTTAAGTGTCAGATCAGCATAGTATTTAATTAATAATTAAATGTTTGTGGTTTGCTTAGTATTTTTTTTTTTGGCATGCTAACAACTTCTTGTTATGATTAAACAATGTAGCCTCATTTAATTTCAGTTCGGGAGAAAAAGGACATTTCATTGGAGCCAGTGGATGATAAAGATCAGGAGGGATCATTTGATTATCGGTAAGCTGTACAACTAACAAATATTAACAACAAAGAAAGATGAATTCACAAAAAATACTACTATTTTTGAAAGGAATTTATAATATTAAAATTTTAATCAGTGTGCTACAACTTATCTACCAAAATGAAGTAATGCTTAGTTTTCTAGGTTATATACAATTTATAAAACAAAGCTGTAATTACAACTGTTAAAGTTTACAATAACACTTCATCACACTATCGAAGCCAGCTATATTTTGACAACAGTATGTTATTACATGTGTTTGCTCTGTACCTGTGCATTCATTTTATTTACTTAGATAAATTAAAGCTACTCTGTGATGTTGTGAAGTCTGTATTTTGGTTATAAAATATTTACAATTAATTTGAAGATATAGATAAGGTTTGTCTGATGTTGAAATAAGAAACAGACATAGGTTTGCATCAGGTGTATGTTTTGGGTTATTTAAAACCTTAGGGATGATATTTTGGGTGTCACCATCTTATTCTTTTGAAACTGAACATTACTTAGAAATTATAAATAAGACCCAACCCAACCTCTAGTTTATCATACCGTCTCAACATTATTCAGTAAAACATTCATATTGATGGTGTGCTATAATTGATATATTTACCTCTGGATGCTTATGATTATAATAAAAGTTACATAAACCAGGCTACATACGAATATARGGTCAAAATACAGACAAAATCAGAACCAGATGATAAACTGCTTATGTTACAAGCTTCTAATGGAAACACAGAGTATCTTTAATTTGAACAAACTCTAGCACAATGTAGCACAGGTACAAATTAAACCAGATAGCTTTCCTTACTTTGGACAAATTCTAACAAATTAAAATGAATTTCTGTTTTTGTTTTTTGTTTTTTCTATCTAAAACCTGGTTGTTTTTACACTGAACTACTCAAGATCCCTTGAAAGGTATGAAAAGACTAAATGCTGACACACTGACACTATTGCCTTTTTTGGTGAACATTTTTTTCTGAGAAGCTACAAGTTTTGTTGCAACAAATAAAATACTTAGTATTAGCTGGTATATTTTGTAAAATTTCTTTTACACTGGTGTTGAATGTGTTATTTCAGGATAGCACGTCTCCCCACTCTGCCTTATCCTAGGAGGTATGTAGTTTTTTATATGGTCAGTAATAAAAAGTGGTATATTTTCTTTTAAACCAGAAACAACAAACCATTTTTATTTGTGTTTCTTTTCTTTTTTTATTTATTTATTTATTTATATTTTTGGTAGAGAGGAGGAAAAGGGGCTTCAAAGAGCTCAGCCATCTGTGGAAGCTATAATAAAGCGATCGGACAGCGATGACAGTCTGGTGGAATATGGAGAAGGAGGGGAAATACAGTTCAACGAGGACGGCTCGTTCATTGGTCAGTACACGGGAACCAGGAGAGATGTCAGGGAGCTGGACTTTGGAGGAAATCTGGAGCTCCACTCACCAATGAATACGATCTACTCTCTGGCATAAAGCTACCTTCCCCCTATCGCTCAGCTGTTCACTACATGACTTCACTTTGCTTGTAACYTTGACATTAACTTTAGGAATCTGGAGAAAATGTCAGTTTGCATAATGTGTGGGAAGAAACAGCTGGAGACTGAGCTGCTGTTGAACCTTTTTTCTGTCAGATTTCTCAACTTCATAGATGAAAAAAACAAAACATTTGGATCATTTTTTGTAGACGTGTCTTTAAAAGTTATCTGGTAAAATACTTTTTGTTTTGTACATATTTCTATGAAATATTTCTTGACATAAGCTGAAATATCTTACACAAGAGACTGAGGATTATTTAATTATGATTGAGAAAGCAATTGCAACATCCAACTCTCCCTTAGAATGGCTTTTTACCCCCTTTTCTGTTAATTCCGATAACAAAATTTGTTTTATTTGTGAATGCTTGCTATTTGACTTTAAGGGTTATAAACCAATTTCTCCATTAGAGGCATCACAATAAAATCATCATCATCATCATCTTCAAACTTTATTTATAAAGCGCTCTAACATCAGCCACAGCTGAAACGAAGTGCTGAACACATGAAATAAAAACAYAATTCAAAAACACAATACAACCACACAGTTAAATAAGTTAAATCAGCACCAATGCAGTAAAAGTTTAAAMGAAATCTCAGTTGGGTTGAAGGCCAGTGAGAAAAAGAAAGTTTTTAGGCGAGTTTTAAAAATGGACAGTGAAGGGACCTGTTAAACATGCAAAGGTAAGGTGTTCCACAATTTAGGGGCACTAACAGAGAAGGCCCTATCTCCTCTGAGCTTCCGTTTGGAACTGGTACTCTTTACAGTTATTTAAATTATGTTCAGCTTCTACTGGAAATCACTTCAGAACAACTCAATAACTTACGTAGATTAAAATTTGAAGTCTCCTCTGACATAGTTCTAAAGTGAGGGTTTATTTATTTTTATTTTTTTGCAATATTACAACAAATAAATAAAGCATCTCTCTTCCTTAATGAAAAACAGGAAGTCAAACCATCTGGAGACTTGGTAGGAAATTTTATGGTCTGGTCTTCTATTTTCACTCACTCTGGAAAGTATTGATCTCTCTATAACCATGTTTGACAACTAACATCAGCTGTGTATGAAGACAAATATTTCTTAATTTAAATAAAATAAAAGTATTTATATTAGGGTAATTTACTGGGAATTTTGTTGTTTTGAGTGTTGTATCAAGTTCCTGAAGGTATTCTTAAGATGCAATTACATTTTCCTGTGTAAAACTTCCAAATCAGACAGTGTGGATGTCCTTAATCTGCAACAACTATATCATTAAACTGAATCAACACATAGATAGTTTAGCTTTTGAATCTTTTTCAAGTTGAACTTCACAGAAAAGATGCTTTCAGTCTTCTTTTCAGAAAAATACAAAAAAACTGAACTCTGGCCAGTGCGCAACATAAATCCATCAGTCATGAAAGGACATCTTATCTATAGATAAGCATACAGTAAATCTATATGGCACATTCTTTTATCTCTGGTTTCTTCTCACAGACCAAAAACATGCATGTTTGGTTCATTGGTAACTCTAAATTGCCCCTTGGTGTGAGTGAGAATGTGAATAGTTGTTTGTCTACTGTATATTTGTACTGTACTTGCCAAGGGTTGTCCATGATGTCCTCTGTCTCTCACACAGTGACAGTTGGACATATATGGATGGATGGATGGATGGATGGATGGGTGGATGATGGATATATGGATGGATGGATGGATGGATGGATGGATGGATGGATGGATGGATGGATGGATGGATGGATGGATGGATGGATGGATGGATGTTCTTTACGTTATGTTCAGCTTCTATTATTTCATTGTTCTGATTACAGAAACGACAGTGACATACTGTAAATTTTAACACCAACAGTTTTCTTCAGGGTTACTTGGAGGTCTAAATTGGTSAAAGAGAAAACAAGAAAATCTAAACTGAAACTTGCACTTCATCAGTCCTCAAAAGCACACATTAAAATAGGTTGCAGTTCAGTTTGTAGCACAACCTGTTTAAAATAAACTCTCTATATTTTTATCAACTTTCCTTTAGTTCACATTTGCTTCTTTGGTGAATGGAAAACTAATTGTATAACATGATTTATTAGCTTGTAGATTCATTGAAAGCAGTTACTACAAGTACCTGTTTTCTCTATGACCATTAGTTTTTTTACATCATTGTGGAGCAAATTAGTCCCACTTTTCTTTAGACTTTTGCTTCTGTACACATTTCTTATTATGGTCAGATCTAAACTATTTTATTTTTTAGCCATCCTGCTACTGATTTATTACTGTGCCTCAGATAAGTGTATTATCAGGATTCATGTACACTATTCGTTTTAAAACACTGTACTTTTTCATAGTCAAATTTTGAAAGTTTTTATTATGCTATGTAACATTGAATTATATGTAAATTTACAATAAATGTACAGTAGTGGAGTTTTCTTGTCTGTATTCTTTAAATACTAATTAAAAAGCTGCACAAAAAAACTACACTTCATGAAACTTGGTCACTTTGAAGCAATGAAAAAAAAAACATTTTGATACGTACCAGGGTTCAAATCTTTGACACAGAAAAAAATTGACATTTTGAAAACGTATATTCTTATCTACAGTAAAACAAAACAGTTTAGCATACTTTCAGGCAAGACCTGGTTGTAAATACAGTCATTTGTCTCAGTAATGACTGCATTTACAACTAGGCCTTGCCTTAAAGTAAATACAGTAATTATTATCAGTAAATTACAGCGTATCGTGTTTTCACTGTGATGTAAAGTTCTGCACAGTATGTCCTTGCATTGAATCAACACTCATTGAATCACACCATATTGTGATTAAGGGCAAAATTATTTTATTGACACCTTAAAATAATCGCCTAAATTTTTTATCAAGTTTGTCTGAAATTATATGAAAATCATATGGTACTACACATTTAGCTTTTAGTTACACTTTGTGTTTCCTGTAAATCTTCAAAAAATATTTGGGTAAGAAGGTATCGTAAGACCATAGATATGCTGCTCAAATCTGCATCCAAAGGTTCTCAATTATTTATGCAACTAAAGGAATATTGCCAGATACTTAGACTAAAGTGTTTTAAGAATAACATGAATTAATAAAAACATGTCTGTATGTATGTACAGGGGTTAGACAATGAATCTGAAACAGCTGGTTTTAGACCATAACATCCCTTTCAGACAGCTTCCTCTTGTGTCCACGGTTAATCCTGTTGGAAGTGCTTCATCCTTCTTGGTGGTATGTTGACATTACCCTGGATACCGTGGATCTTGATTCATCACAAAGACTTGCTGTCTTCATCACAGATGCACCAGCAAGACGTGCACCAAAAATTTGTCCTCTTTTGAACTGATATGTCACCCATAATGTTGTGTGCATTACAATATCTTGAGCAAAACTGTGCTCTTACCCTGCTAATTGAACCTTCACACTCTGTTCTTACTGGTGCAATGTGCAATTAATGAAGAATGGCCACCAGTCTGGTCCAATTTAACCATGAAACCTCCCACACTAAAATGACAGGTGTTTCAGTTTCATTGTCTAACCCTTGTATGTACGTGTGTTTGTGACGCTTTGGGCTGCTCTGTCTGCCCTCCTGTCTCTCTATCTCTGTTTACCTACTCATTGTTTCACCTCTCCCCTCACAGAACAGCAATCAGCCTCATCAGCATCACCTGCTCAGCTCACTACATAAGCTCCAGACTCACAGACTCTCACTGCCAGATTTTTGAACGGTGTGCCTAGTAGATGTCCAGCGTTTCTCTTAAGTCCATGCCTGATCTCTTGCCCATGACCCCTTGCCTGTCTCTCGACCATCGTCTCCTACCTGTTCCTAGTGATGGCCACATGAAGCCCCATGAACCCTTGAAGCTTTCATTCCAATTGGTTCAAAAAAAGGTTCATTTCTTGAAGGTTCATGTACTCACAACTCCCTCTGCTGGTCAAAACTTTTGTCATTTCATCTACTTGGCTGTCTTCAATAAAATGAAAGTACTTTGATTTATTTTGTGACTTAATCTTGTTATTTTGGATAAATTGGTATTTTTAAAAT